CACGTTCCGGAAGAACGGACATCGCAGGCGCGTGCCGGATCACAGGCAATGTCGGCTCGCCCTCGCGGGCGGCGCTGGTCGGCTTTGCACTCGATGCGGCTTCGGGGTGCTCGGATCTGGCCTCCGAAGAGACTGCTGTCTCAAGCACTGCCTTCTTGGCATCTGCACGGAGCTGATCTTCGTACTGCTGGGTTAGGGCCTTTCGGTCCTGGCTGCCGAGCATGACCCACATGTCAGACGGGATATCGGGAGGCCTTTTGGATCCGGCCTTCCTACGGACGAGCCGAACCCCATCCCACACATAGCCATCAGGTACTGGTGACCCATCAGGCATTATGCTCGGGTCGAATGCGCCGCCTTTGTCGGGCACGACAGGCTTGGTCTTCGCTTCGGATTTCTCCGATGCGGCGGGTTCCTCGATTTGGGCTTGCCCACGTTCCAACGGCACAGGATCATCTCGTATCCTAGCACTGGCAACAGGTGGATGAGATGCAGGGTCTTTCAACAACCTCATCGGGAAGATGAACTCATCAGTCGGAAGCTCAATGCGCTTTGTTCGCTGTACCGTGAGGGACGCATGTTCGATATGGTAATCGAGCCCTTCTAGTTTTGCAACGAGGAACTCACCCTTCCATGCGAACCCGGGCTGAATATGGTACCCGAGAAACACGCCTTCATTCGATGTTGGCGAAGTCTTGCCTGCCTGATTGTCAGCTCGTGCAGGGTTGTTCCAGAACAGTATCTTTGCTCCGAAAGGTATCTCAGCTTCATCAAAGGTCTTGTTAAACCTGAGGTACCATGGCGAATCATTTCCATTCAACTGTGGCAGGATGTTGGTCGCAACTGCATTGTGCTGGATGGCAAATGGCCACATCGACAGTGGGAACCCTGACTGAACAAGGTTCGCACGTGCTCCCTCCAACAGATGTCTGATTTCCCTTTCCACGAAAGATTTGGAAGAATCAACATATTCAATGGAGGTCTGATGACGGTACCCCAACTGCTCTATTGCGGCTTTCAATTCCCGGGAGTTATCAGTGTAGAGAACCTCAACCTCATCCCTACCGGAAATGAAATGCTGGATCCCTGCAACGGATTGCTCCGTGCTTTTGCTGGTCGACGGGTAAACGTACCTGAACTGCGTATGCACGTCCTTGATCACAAGAGCACACCATTCACCTTTTATGCCTTGCTCGATGTTGGCCTTGAGAATCACATGATCAGCAATGATGTGATCTCCAAACGCTTTCGTCTCGAGCCTTCCCTGCCCGCCTTTCGATCTTGCATATGGGGCAAGCATCTTGGCACGTTGGCAAGTGCGGCAAAAGGGATTCTTCGGATAGTGTGCAAACAAGTGCTCTTTGGTACCTGCTTCGGCAACCAGATCTTGCTCTTTGCGGGATCTCACAAACCGCTCAACTTCGTCGTCGGGATCATCACCTTCGTCGATGCCTTCGTCATGAACTGGCGCAGGCGCTGGCTTTGATGCTGCTACTGCACTCAACGATGGCTCAGCTTCACAACTAGAGTCCATGTATGGCACATGACCGTCAACCTTGAGCTGGATCAGAGCACCGTCAGGGCGAACCATGGTTGGTGCCTTCCCGGATTCCCAATGAAAGGAATATCCTTGATCCAGACACTTCACACCCAGCGACAGCACTGCGGGAGAACTCTCGAGGATGTAAGGCTGAGCAGGCTCGCACAATGCATCGACATTGATGTCGGCGATTTCGGAAGCAGTGATGTTTCCGTTTGCAGTCACAAGGCGAATGGGCTGCGGGGCCTGTTTTCGGATTGCCTTGGACGCATTCCTCAGTGCAGCTTTGCTGATGAGGTCCTGCTCACTACCGGAATCAATGAGCCACACGTCCTTTCCCTTTGGGGCAGGGGTGGCTGCCCTTGGCGCTTCGACATCCTTGCGAACATCGTGAGGCGGCATGGCAACTCTCAGGCACTCATCACACGATAGGCTTGAGATGGAATCGGATTCCACATCGCACATGAAACCGCAAGCGGGCTGGGCTCCATTCTCCATGGCTTTGACTACGGCATTTCAACTGGTTCGCGGCCTTGCGCGCTGCCTTGTTAGTCCCTTTGGTCGGCCTGGGGCAGTCCTTGGCACTTGGAAACATCCTATTGTACTGCCGTTCCTCATACTCAAGCTTGAAACCATCGCCTTCGGCGGGGATCTCATGCACATGAGCATTGGTGTCGAATGACACTCCAATTGGATTGATCGGCTTTGCGAACATGGCGTACCTGGTGCAGACTGCAGCGGCTTTGGCCTTGGGCTTAGGCTTAGGTGAATTTGCACGCTTCTTAGCCGCAGGATTTGCATTGGCCTCGCTGCTCGATGCCGCGGCGGCAGATTTGCCGCCCGTGGAGGCATGGCTAAACTTGCATTTATCACCTCTCGTGCACTTCCCTTGGGCAAAGAAAGAACACGGTGCTTTCTCTCCTTTACCGCCTTTGGGGGACCTTGGCCTGCCGCGGGTCGCGGAGCGTCCTCGCGGCTCCTTGCGGTGCGCGTAAGGGCAGTTTGCCCCCCTCGTGCACGAGCCCTTCTGGAAGTCAAAACAGTACTTCTCCTCGGTGTCCTTCGGCTTAGGTGCGCTCTTTTTCTTGGGGTCCCTCTTTTCAGGAGCGGCAGCACCAGCCTTGGGCGTCGGGGCTTTACTGGCATTGACCTTGGACACGCGCTCTCGGTTCTCGCGAAGCCTATCCCTCTCGATTAGATCCCTCATGCAACGCATTAGGAAATCGTACGATTTATTGGGATCATCATCACGGCAACGATCATATGTGTCGATGTCGTACCGCAACAGATGGCAGCTTCTCACTTGGCGAAGCAAGATGTCTTTCAACACCTTTTCTTCCGGCGGCTTTTTCATGCCGGCGATCACGGAATCCCAAGCATTCAGGAAACGCTTGAGATCAATGATTCCTTCGCCGTGTCGCGAGACACGCAACAGGTCCTCCAAGGAGTAGAGGTTTCCGGCTTCTTCACTGGTCTTGAAATATTGGTCAAACATAAACAAGACCTGCCTTCCTCTCATGGCCTTTCCCTCCTTGGCACATTCTTCCTTTGCTGTTAGGATTCGCTGAGCCAGATCGCCTTTCGCTGAACGCGTGAGCGCTGCGAGAATCTTCGTGTCTAGGGTCACGAATTTTCCCGGTTCGCCGAGCTCCTCCAACAGCTTCTTCTTGTCCTCGCGATCAGACCAGACTTCCATGATCCAAGGCCAAGCCTCGTCTGGACGGTCAGATGCGGCGCGGACATCCTCACGAACCGATGTTTTCCATTCACGGTACGTTTCAGGAGTTGGCATCTCCTTGAATCGCAACGTCTCGCTTTCGCGGGTTCTGGGCTTTTCATCGTTCGTGTGGCCTTTTACTAACTTCATCAACATTTTGGCGAATGCTTCTTGGCCGAGGTTAGGCCCAAGGCCATCACCTTCGTCTTCATCACCGTCGCCATCGCCATCATCATCAGGTGGCGGACCGCCGGGAGGCTTACCACCCTGCTTGCGGTCAGTTGACATTGGCCCCTGAGAGAATTGCAGGGGTGGGACCGGTGCACTTGTTTTCACCGGGGATCGGCTGCTACCTGATGGCTTTTCAGCTGGTCCTTGCGGATCGCGAGCATCTGCGGGCAGTGCTTCGCATTCGGCAGTTGGAATCACGCTAGGGGTATATTCATCCCCGTAACCGTCATAGGTAACAAGCGACCTCAACTTTTCCTTTGCATATTGAAACGGATGGGTCAACGGGTCCAACATTGACCTTTGGGACCGAGCTGACTTCATGTCGTCGGTCATCAACTCTGGTGAATCCTCTCGGGTATCACCTACCCCTTTGGGCTTCGATCCATCCTCGCGGAGGTCGTGTTGCTTCTGATACTTCTTCAGCTCATCAAGCTCGTCCTGCAGAAGCCCGTTTTGGTGTGCCATCATGTCAACCGTTCTGGCGTGTGTAGCCTCGACACGGGCTGTGTCATCGGCATGCTTGGCAGCTTGCTCATGGAGGAGCTGCTGGGCTTCAGCCAGGGTGGATTCGATGGCTTGCCTAAACTCAGTTGTTTTGCGTCCCATTTCCGCTTCATGCAATGCTTGGGCATTTTCCTCACACACTTGGCTTATCCTAGCTTCAGCGAAGTTCACTTCTTGCATGAACTCATCGCTCACTCGCTGTTCGTATTCACGAATCCTATGCGACTGGGCTTGCACACATTCAGCGTAGTGTGCATGCAGCTGATTTTGTGCGGCACGGAGCTCCTCACGGTTTTCCGCTTGCAAATGCGTTACAGCTGCTTGATGCAGGGCTTCGGCTTCAGACCTAATGGCTGCATCATTCCCAAAAGCAAGATTGCGGTATTGTACAGTTGAAGGGAATTCATCAGGGTGCGGTTGTATTGCGCATTAGCGCTTGATGCGAACATTCGCACACCGCCGCCGGTGGCGTTGCCGGAGCTAGCTCCGGCAGCATCCACAGGCATGCTGGATCCATCAACTGGCACAAGGGAACCGTCCATTGCTTAGAGCTAGGGGCCTACGGCTGATAACCTATAGATTCAAGGGTTACCGGTTTGGGGCCCAAAAGGAAACAACACACCGTCCAAGTGCGCTGCTCGCACATTTTCACGCTTGAACAGCCACACTGCGGATGCAACGGATGTAAAACCCCAAACTGACCGATCAAATTCTTCACTTCCACAGCTCAGGAAATCCTGACACGTGGTAAATGTCCATGTCTTGCCTGCTGAAATGCACTTGATCTTGCAGGGCTGCTTAACTTGGACCTTGGATTTGCGGGTGAAATTTACTGCTGTCAGCGCCATGTCCTGAATTCCAAATTGAGCATTGTCTTGTTCTTCCCCCATTTGGGCATGTGCGATAAGGGGACCTCTAAAACTAGGTGGTTTTCTATGGGTTCCCGCCAAGCACACCCATTTCAAGACAACACGCGGTCTCAAGTGCATCCGGTCTTGAGTCGCCCGCAATGCCCGCAGTTGGCGCACGGGTAGGCGGCAACCTCAGGACACAAGGTGCTTACCTCAAAAGTGCGAGTGACGACAATGTCCCTTGAAGAGATCTTGAGAAGCTCGCGCGGAAAGACAAAAGCTGTAAGAGAGGTGTTGCACAAGATGGCAGATCAGGTGGCCCATTTGGCGTTTAACACATGTTCGAACCAAGCCTGGAGTGGAATGCACTGGATTGGGTCATTGGCAGCGCGGGCAATCTTCAAAGACAAAGGCTTGGCTGAAACGTATTCAGAAGCCCTGGAGACGGGCAACATGAAAAAACACACCACGTGCATTGAACTTGGTACCCTCCCTTTCGCAGACTTCCCTCTCAAACACTCAAACCAAAACTAAGTCAGAAATATGACAAGCCTAAGTTAGAGTTCATTTGCCACATGCATGGCGTTTTTGTTTTTCCCGGTGGTCCAGGCTTTGTTAAAAAAGTCAACTTGCAACCAAAGGACTAAGGTTTTGCGCGGTGAACTGTCTGGGTTGTTTCAACGAGCCCCAGGAACAGGAACCAATACCGTTGGATCAGGCGAGAACTGGCGAGGCGAGAAAAGGCTCCGATCATGGCCATTCCCTGAAAGCCTGGAAGAACCTTTGCATTGGAATTCTTACACCGTTGAAAGGTGGATGATCTCTACCACAGGTGAGGGAGCCCTTCAAAACAGGCCAAGGTGATGGTCAACATGGCAGACCGCAAGAGTCGCAAATGGTCACACCCAGCCTGCCTTCCCCCCCAAAATGGGCGGCTTGTTTTTGCGAGCTCCTTCAAACCCAAAACAGGGGTACCATGGGCACCCTCAAAACAGGACTTTCCCCAGGCTCGCCGGACACGGTGCCTTGAGGCCTTGGGGGCCTTGGGGCCTTGGGGGCCTTGGGGGCCTTGGGGGCCCCGGCCCCGCTGCCCGTGTCCAAGATCACGGAGACGCGCTGCGGGGGGGTGCCTACCACTAAGTCCACCTCGAGCAAAGCAGGATCGGGCGTGGGCTTTAATTTGGTGGGTTGTGGGCTGATTTGCTTGAAACTGGGTTTGGGTTTTCTGCCCGGGTTTAGATCAGGCCTGTGCTAGGTTGAGAAAAGCCGTGTGATTGGGCAGATTTCGGTAAAAAGGAATGGGCGTGGGTTTCGGTTTGCGGGTGGGTCTGGCGACCCCTTGCTTTCGCGCAAGCAAAACCTAAGCCGATACGAATGCGCCACTGAACCCGAAGCCAAACAACAACCTCAATCTAAGCCAAAGGCTCAACCCAAACAGAACCTAAGCAGCCCAGTCTGAACCTGAGCCTGAACTGCATTTAAACCTTACCCAACTGCACCTGAATCGCAACCCAAATCTAACCCAAACGACCAACCCAAACCCAAACCCGGCAGGGGTACACCCACTGCATCTCAACTTAAGCTTAAATCCCACCCAGCCCAAACCTAATCCGCCTTGCCTAAACCTCAAGCCGAACCTGAACCTGAAGCTAAGCCTAACCCCTGCCCCAAACCCAATTTCAACTTGATGCCCAACACATGTGCCTGAGGTTAGATTGCGGTTGCGTTCGGGGTTCATGTTCATGATTTTGCTCACGCGAGGAACTTCCAAAATCATGGACCGGTTCTTTTTGGAAACCGCTTATCAGCGTCACATGTTTCCTATATTTCCCAAATTGGAACTACGGATCTCTCAAGAAGCCTTCACGATTTGTTCGATCCCTTTACTCCCCGGGCCACTGACTGACTTGTGACGAGACCTCCCAGCCTTGCTTCCAAATCATGGTCGTGGAAGATAACTCTTTCTGCTTGCATTCTGTTGCCCGTTGCAGACGACCCCCTCTTGTGATGACCGCCCCAGAAACGTCTGCCTTGAATGTAGACCTTGGGTCACACGCTGCAAACAAAAATGGAAGCACATTCGAGACTCAAACCGTGCGCAAGAGTCCAGACAATGCCAAAGAATGGATGAAGCAAAGGTCGGCGATACTAAAGTGCTTAAAAACCTTTAAGGCGGATTGCCTTGGTATTGTAGAAATTGGTCCAAAAACCTAGTTTTCCACAACCGTGTGCCAATCTTCTTCCTTGACTCGCGTCTGGGCTCGGAGCGAAATAGTACGCAAACTCGTCGACATTCCTCGGATGCCACCCATTCGACAACATCTCTCAACCTGCACGGAAACAACCCCCCCTCTCCCCCCTCTGTGGTACGATGGTGGTTGATTCCCTGACAACTCTGAATGGTCCCCCCTAAAACAAAATAGCAAAGAGGACAAAATTGATTCTTCAACAGCAAACAGGGTAAACAAATCGCAAATGGATGCAAGCCACATGGCCACAAGAAGCCAATCAACCCATGTGAAGGATCTTGACCCTCTGAGCTGCAGACCCGTACAGCCTCGCGTGTTCGATTTTCTTCTCTGCATCGTAGTCTGCAAGAACTCTCGGCAGACCTCGAAATACCCAGCCACTCGTCCCTTGCTTGTGGGGTGTGTCTCAACATAGGGAACCACGGTTTGGTTGGTGCTTAAAGGGAAACCAGAAGGTCCTTAATGTTGAGACACATCCGACAAGCCTGTTTTTGGTTGATACATTCAACAAACCTCCAGGCTTTAGGATAGCTTTTGAATGGAAACCCAATGGGAACCCAGACTTTTTGGCCCTGCACTGTTGCACAGTGACCCATGTAGCTTCAAGCCCTTTTGAGTGCTGATTCTATCTGTGTGCGAAGTCCACCACTTAGAGGGCGGGGTCGGGTTTGCCCAAAATTGCCACCGTCAAAATGTGCTGTGCCCTCTACGGCTATGGGCAAACTCGAGCTCGTCCCCTTGTTTCTGCTTTCAATATTTAGTGCTCGTTACCCAGGTGCCGAACACCCAAATTGAGCACAGACTGGGCATGTTGACACCTCAAATGTGCCGTGGTCAAACGACCCTTTTTACGTTTCGTTGGGCTAGTCGGCTAGTCCTCAAGCACGCAGGGATTAGAGATGACCCTAAAGGCCATTCAGAAATTCAGTGAATCACCAAAGCACGCCTGGTGTACTTTGCTTTGAAACCACCACTCTCCCATCAAGAAGCTCAGAAATCTTCCAAGAAGATCATCAGTCTTGCAAACTGAGTTTCTGCGCCAAGACAGAATAGGAAGCACCACCACGTGGCCAGGCCCAGGTCTATATATATATATATATAAGTTTGAACCTGTGGGGCCTCAAAAGTGGCAGTTTCATTGGAACCCAACAAACTGATCGACATCTGGCAAAGGAAAAACCGAAATGGCTAAGCGCCTTTCGGAGCTTCCATAGAAGGGGTCAAATTGAAACCCAAGAGTGAAGAGGCTCATTTTGGAGATGCCCTGAACTTGGGGGAGCCCTGCTTGCTTGGCGTGTACTGGGAGAACAACCAATTCTAGGCGTGCGGTTCTGCCCGACCTGACAAGTGAACATATTAAACAAGACGGCATCCAATCTCGGCTGACTGTCTGGACTCTCCAGGAACAAATCAACCAACTTATCCCCTCAACCAAGCTTTGCTGCCCAACATGTTGAGCATGGTCAAAGACTTGCCAGCCTGCTTTCTTGCTCGTTAATGAAGGGCGACTGAGCCCATTCACCGAAACAGTTGGGCTTCCTAGAAATCAAGAGCAAGTTTGGCCTAGAGTCCCTCCCAACAGGTTCTCCTACCTCCCTTATCGCACAACGGCTTCCACCTCGCCAGGGTTCCATGCTTTGACTTCCCCAGGCTTGAACTCAGAGGCAATTTTTTTGGGAGAATGAACGCCTGGGTTTCAGTCTCTCATTCCCTGCCCGGTGAGATGGGTTGGTTACATTGCTGGGGCGGCCGCCGAGCGCGAGTAGCGCCGGACGCCAGGGGCATAGCATGGAGTGAGCAGCCAGGCCTCAAAACACGCGGCCGTGAATGCTCTCAGGGCTTACGACTTCTATCTTTTGTTCTTAACGTTGCTCCCAATCCTTTTCTGTTCCATATTCAGTGAAGCTTAAAATGTCAAATCGCTTCAAAATAGATCCCGCTTTTTACCATTCCCACTTTCGGTGGACAACAAAGGTGGACGCTCCTGTATCTGGCCTGTGCTTGGAATTCTCTCATTTGCAGATTTGCTTGTTTCTCTTCTTGGATTGGAACATGGATGATTTCCGACTCAAATGGGGCTGACTTTTGAGCCCAGGTGGCTGGAGCGGAGTATTTGGGGGGTGCAGGGCTAACACTTGAGCTTGCTGAAGTTGCGGTTCTCGTCCCACCAGCAAACAAGGAAGTGCAATGGCATGCTGCAATGTTGCTCCCTTTCCAAGAGTATAGTCTTCCTCTTGAACGTCCATGCTTGGCAGTGCAAAGACCAGGTCCCCAGGGAGTACATGGGGTTTGCAGCTCCTCTTTTGGCTTCCTCCAAAGTCGGCCTAACAAATACGGCCGTAAGCTCGCGTCTTATCCTGAGGGTGAATTGAGTGACGGCTCGCCTGGATCACCAGCGCTGGTCCTCGGCCAAGGTTCCCCGTTATGATATTCGCTTGGGAAATTCGAAGGAAGCCAACCATTTCTGGGGGATCACCGGAAAATCAAATGGACATCAACCATTCCGGGGGGTCGAATGGTCGGAGGAAATCCTTGGGGAATTAACCAGGTCTGGGGAGCCAACCTTCCAGTTCCACGCAAGCGGGTGGAAAGCCAACCGTAGATCAAAGCCAGCCCACTGGGAGCCACACATCGAAAGCCAACATGCAATGGGGTTTGGACTTGAGTCTTGGTGGGGCAGCTTGCCCCAACCATCAGATCCCACAGCAGTACCGGTCTCGCATGCCCGAACCAATCAAATGTTTGCCGCACACAACACTCAGCTGCCCTAAGCTGTTCGGCGCAAAGGACCAGAACCTCCACTCCCGCGTAGCGTCGCTTTGCGCTTGAGCAACGGCCAATACTAGCAGGTAAGCGGTGTTTGGCAGACCCCTATCGGTGCTCTTGCTTGGCATCGATGTTTTTGGTGATGCGCTAGAGGGTTGATGGTTGGTAGTGCTGCTGGTTGCTATCAAAAGACTCCTTGTCTCCCGCTGGCCAGCCTGAGCTTACCTGACCCCCTGCCACTTGTCAGTGCAATCCCCCCCATCCCAACTGCAAGCCACTGCCCAGTGAACGAGGCAAGGTGAGCATCGAAACAATTTGGGATTAAATACGTCCCTTTAAACCTCACCCCAAATGAAAACTCAATCAACATTGTCCCAAAAGGTGATGTTGATGTTTGAACCGCCCAAGGAACAGTTGAGGATTAAGAACCCCCGAGAAACAGCACAATCCAAGAAGACGAAGGTGTTGCTAAGATCTGGCCAAGAATAGATGCGTTTTAACGGCTCCGGGGGGGTGATAGAAAGACGTTTGCTGCTTCCTTGGCCTTGCCAAGAACTGCTGGTGGGAATAAAGCAAATACATGCAAGTTGCCTCAGTTACAGCCGGCACAAGCAACTCCTCTGATCAAAACATCCCGACCAGTATTCGACCATAGAGATAGAAGGCCTCATGCCCCTTCAAAATGGACCATAGTGCCAGGAACGTCTTCCATGTTTTGACCCAACCTCCATCTAAGACACAACTCTCCTGGAAAGCAAATGCCTCCAACCAGCAAGTTTCTCAAACTGCCACTCGCCCGCCCTGGCATGCAGGTCCTGTCGCTCCATGTGAGGGGTCGCAAAGGCGCGTTAAGGCAGCTTGCGCGCGTTTTGCAGTGGTCTGTGATGACTGGGGGGCCAACTTGAACCCTGCCGCTGAGTGATTCTTGATCATTGACACTTGGCATGTCAATCCTGAGGTCAAGAAACGCCGACTGGCTTCCAAAACTGACAAATGCTCGGAAACCTCTTCGAATGTCTTGTGGAAGAAAGCTGCAATGCTACGGGCATCATGTCAAACAAAATCTCCAGCTGACTCTTGTGCCGTGTTTCTCTGAACAGCTTGACTCTGACAGTTCATTGAGCAATCTGGTTTGCGAAGGGCACGAGCAGCTTTGCTCCAAAAGGTTGCTTCATGTGCCGCGAATTTTGAGCCAAACCTTTCTTGGAGGCAGACGGGTCTCTATCGGATTTGTCCAATGTGGGGCATCGCCAACTTCAGGGCCCCCTCGCTTTTCGGATCTTCAAATTGTAAACCCAGAAACCGACCACGGCTCGCTCGCTCCGCTGGCCAGCCGGCTGAGCGATGGCAACGGAGCTGCTTCTAAAAAAAGTTCGAAGATCTGAGACGAGGGCAAGTGATCCCCCAAACTTAACTTAACGGACCTTCATGGTGATCTTGGTTTCTTTTCGCCCGGGTGACCTCGCCATACAATATGCAGAGATAGTTTCTGGCAAAACTCTGTTGCACGCGAACATGTCTGCAAATGGCTGCCCCACTCCCTTTAGGGTTTCCAGAGACCAAAAAAAACTTAATAAAGAAATATATATATATATATATACATATTAAAAAAGGGGGGGGGGGGGGAACAACGATGGATGCCGCGGATCCCGCTCTCCGCGCCGTGGCCACGGAGAGGTCGAAGCTCTTCTTGGAGTTCTCACGGAGCTCGCGGCTTAGGACCTGCCGATCGCTCGGCCGACCATGGGCCAACGCACCTTCCACCAAGCCCAAGACGGTAGTTTGCTTCTGCCCAATGGGAACAGGTGGCTTTCCTCTGCCCAAAAACAATACATGGACGGGGACCCTAAGATGTGGTGTTTTGTCTTTTTACTAGTTGATACCCTATGTGGGGTTGGAGGGTTTCACCAAAGGGAAACCTGTTTGGAGGGATCCCTGTGAGACAAACCCGTTTTCGAAGGGCAAACCTTTTTGAACCACGGGGGGAGGTGAGTCAAAAAGGAAATCATGTCTGGTTTTTCGACCAAGCCTCAACCTGTTTTGTACCGCAAACACGAGGGAAAGAGGCTGTCAAAAAGCAGGTTGGGGAGTGGAAATCATTGGTGCCATGGTCCAAAGGGGGTCCAAATAGGGGATCATAGTTTGACAGCCCGTGCCTCTGAGCAAAATTGATCTGCCCCTGGATGAAAGGAAGGGGAGGGAAGCCAACCCATCTTCTTGCTGGGATGGGGGGGGCAAATGTTGTATTCGGGTCACTTCTTTTTGCAACAAAAACTGTGGTAGGTGCCACTCGTTGGAAGCAGAAAACACAGGGCCATGCGGACGGTCAGCACCCCACAAATTGGCGTGAACGTGCCAACCAGTCCGCTTCTTTGAAGCTTTCTTGACGCTTGTTCGCCCTTTTAAACAACCGGACCTGCTAAGGTGGTTCAGTGATACGGTTTTAGTGGCCATTTTAGTGGTTGATTATGGCGTCTGAATCACTTGGGAGTGCTTTGGCCACAAGGCTATCAGGCTGGGGACAACGCAGAGGCAACGAGGGCGAGCCTCGTGCCTCTGGTAGCTGAGGGCGAAAGCAGGATCGGTCGCACTGAACCCCTAGTTGCTTCACTCCCAAAACCTGAAACACCCCCATATCCCTACAACCTCTAAACACCCCTAAACACCGCACCCTAGGTGTCCACAAATCTTCGCCTTATCTTTAAAAAAACGACTGCCACCGTCTGAGATCTCCCTTCTCCAAGCTCCAAAAAGTCCAAGCCTCAGTTCCTAGCTGGCAATCGCTGCACTGCTTGTATCTCATGGGCACGGAACTCGTGACGTGACGTCAATGGATTCAAAAAATGATGCAAAAGCACGCAAACCAACGCCTGAGCCAGACGTCTGCCCCCGGATTCAGAGCTTCTCCCACGGGCCCCTTTCAACCCATTGATGCACTCAGGCTCACACCCGTAACTTGGAGATGGGACATTGGAAACATTAGCAGCAAACAAGACCCATGCTTGCAAACTGGCAGTGACTTTGGTGTTTCTTGTGAAAACATCGCCTGACACATATGCGTGCGACCCTATGTCTTCAACAAGACCCGGCCATGGGCAGCTTGCCGGAAATGATGGCTGGCTATGCTTCCACGAGGCACAGCGGCGGCAAAGCATATCATGAAGAAATGACCAGACATGAAGTCAAAAGCATGCGGCAATCGGAGCTGTGCGCGGAAGAATACCAGATTTTGATGACTCAGGTGTCTGAAAGGATGAATCCGCTTGATGGGGTTCAAAGGGATGCCCACCCCCTGTTTAGGACTCCAAATGAACTTTTGGTCCAGCACTGAAGGAAGCAATTGGTCACAACCGGTTTTGTGACGGTTATCAGCCACTGAAAAAAGGCCAAGATGACCCCATCGAAACAGTCTAACAGTGTCTCAGTTTGAATCTTGTGCTACATCCTGGGTTGCAAGGTAGATGTTGCTTTCTGTCTCAATCATTCCATTACTCTCAATGCAAGCGTTCCCTGGATTCGTGGATTCATTTGCGTGCACAGGTTCGATCCAAGAGCGGCCCTCCTATGCGTGCAACAAGTCTTGCGGGAAAGCGGCTGCCCCATCATTGGCAATCGAATTGTTCAAGGTTCCTTGCCGCATGGCTGGGAAGTCAGGCGCGAACGAACGAACGCGAACGAACGAACGGCTGCCTGGAGCAGGTTCTCATGCTCCCCCAAGCCCTCCAGGTGCATGGGCTGGCAACGAGCCGCGCTCTTTGCAGCTTCTCCGAGAGTCCCACACCCGTCCCCTCGTTTTCCCAAAAGTGGACCCTAACTTACGGTCTTGAGTTTAAGGCCATACTTGGAGACCAGGAGCAGGATGTTCGGCCACGCTGGCCAGATGTCAGTGCGATTCCCATCTGCAATGGTGGCCCCTTGCCAAAAAATGGCCCCTGCAAAGTACCAAGAAGTTCTGTTCCACTTCCAACATCGATGCCTTACTCACTCAACCATCGTTGTCTGCCCCTGAGGGAGTACCCCTCTTGGTTTCATGTTAAAAACAACTTATATAATGGGTATCTGGCCAAAAGGGAGGCGGTTTCCAGCGAACTGCACAACCCCGGGCGTAAATCGTCAAGGGTTACATGACATCAACCCTCTGGCACATGCAAGAATATCTTCTTCGGACGCCCCATGCAAAAAAGGAATGTGTGCATGCGCGTGTGTGCATGCGTGTGTGCGTGCACGTTTGCGTGAGCGCGTGCATTCGCGCGCGGGTGTGGCCTGTGGATGAGCGCGCTGGCTTGTTTAACAGGTTGCCTGCCTGCTTGCTGGTCTGAGAAATGAATTGCTTGATGGATTAATTGGTTGGTTGGTTGGTTGGTTGGTTGGTTGGTTGGTTGGTTGGTTGGTTGGTTGGTTGGTTGGTTGGTTGGTTTAGCGATTGGTCGATTGATTGGTTGATTGATTGGATTGGGTTGGATTAGGTTGGGTTGGGTTGGATTGGATTGGATTGGGTTGGATTGGGTTGGATTGGATTGGAATGGATTGAATGGGATCGGATCAGATCGGATCGGATCGAATTGGATTGGATTGGACTGGGTTGGATTGGATTGAATTGGATTGGATTGAATTGGATTGGATTGGATTGGAATTGATTGATTTTTTGGCTGACTGATTGCTTGATTGGTTGACTC